GCATTCACTTGTAAATTTGTAATGTATGTACGTGTTATGTATTTCAATTGGGTTCTTTGTACACGATATTTTTACACAGCGAATGATCTGTGCACATACGATTTAATCCACTTGTAAAATTGTTGTGTATAAAAAATGTGTACACGGAGCATTAGTGTTCCAAGATAATTATTTTATTAATTCTCACAATATCATTTTTTGATCTATCTAGTAAACAATACTCCCTCCGTAACATTCATATCTTCCCACTTTCCTTTTATGGACGTAACATTTATATCTTCCCATTTCTAAATCTTCCCATCATACCCTCAATAATTTTAAAAATAATACAATATTACACCTACTTTTTTTGGATTTATCCTTCATTCCATCACATTATTTCACTATATTCCCATCATACCCTCAATAATTCATATCCTCTTTCACTATTCTTAATCTCACCCACTTTGGAAGTGGGAAGATATATGTGATAAGGAGGGAGTAATTTATTATTTTTGAAAGCAACAAGTACCTCACATTATAAGAATTAGACAGATTTTGCTATTTTAGTCCCATGTTAGAACCGGCTAGTCTTAAATAGACCAGATCATACTAGATCAGACTTAAACATACCAGAACAGTTCAGATCGACCAGAGTACCATACTAATAAATCAGATTTCAACATTTGTAAAATACACATAAAACAAACATGTGCCAAACTAGACAAGATCGGAAAATAACTGTCCAATTAAAAATATCCTAAAATTAAAATTGAGTTTTTTGAATGAGAGAATGAAAAAAAGAACATGGAAGAATATATTTGTTTGGGGGCCTTCACCCCTCCAAGATTGGGTCACATGGAAGTAGCATGCATTTGCCCCACAACTATCTGTCCTATGGATCCACAACCACTTTGCTTCGTTGAGGGTTCGGTTCAGCAGTTGCCAAGTGATTTTGTGACAGCTATCATCTACGTACTTTGGAAAAAATTAATTAATTTAAGCAATTGCTCATGAAAATAGCATACTAGCTAGTGCATAATTGGTCGAGAAGGCATTTAATTAGTGTGCATATGATCACTCAATAATTAAAGATTCATGCAATAATCTTTAAAAAGATCAAGATGCATTATATTAGAATCTAATTAAGCTGGATGTATTTTATTAAATACCATCAATTCATGTTGCAACAAAATAGTATATATGTATTTGTTTTTACAGAAGATTATGGGGTGTTTGGAACTGATTCTGCTTCTGCTTCTTTTTTAAGATAGAACCAGAATCAGAATCAGTTTTCAGAAGTTGCTCTCCCCCAGCTTCTAAAAAAACCGATTATTCTAGGAGTAAATTTGAGTACCGGAATCACTTCTGCACTTTCACCCAAACACTCCAGCTTCTGCTTCTGCTCCTTGAAGCAGCATAAGCAGTTTTAAGAATCAGATCCAAACACCCCTATATTCAATGGTTATTTTTATGAACCACACACCTGGATAAAAAGTCAGTAATTGAATCATAGAAAAATGATTTTTATGCACTACACATTACGGAGTATCATTTAGAGTTCGTTTGGTAAATCAGAAATTAGCTTAATCGGCTGGTTCTACTAAAATTTATGAAATTTTGGCTGAATTAACTGGATTGGCTAATTCTACTGAATTACCTAGTATTAAAAAATTATCCTACCATTTTTGCGCTTAGAAATGGAAGAATCTATTAAATGACATCCGAATTACTCCGTAGCAATTTAGCATGTTCAACATGCTTTTTCCAATGACGATTAATTATTCTAGATTCAAGAAGATTGTAAACTACAATAATAACATTTCATTTGGGGGTATTGCTTTAGATGGTATCTTGTGCAGTTGTGCGGATACATATTAGTTTTATCAAAATAAAATATATTGCAAACTAGCTTAATTAGACAAATACTCCCGCTACTTAGGTGATTGGTGAGTTCATCCAGATTTACATCAATCCAAATAAACCGAGTAAAATTATTTCGTTATTACCAGTTAAAGTGGCTCTGGATCACCAATAAAAGTAATTAAAGCGTTCTAAAAATATTGTGTTCTTCCTTAGAATATTGTGTTTTTTTGTTTAGACCGATGTGTTCGACATCCTAAAAAGCACTCCAAAGTAATCATTAAGATTTAATATTTATAAAGCATCCCAATCTTATTAGATCCGTAGTGTTAGCTTTTTCATACGTACATGTCATCAAAGTTTATCACACCAATACACCATTATTATTTTGTATATACTACGTACTATCTATATACGATAGTAGTTTACATCGTTTTAACGTTATTATAATTCCTTTCAAATAACTTTATTATAATATAGTAATTGCTCTAACTAAGACTAAAAATAACGAAAAAATCACAAATAGGACCCCTACATTTTCTATCATCCAAAATAGGACTAAACAAATTCAGCATACCCAAAATGCCCCTAAGGGTATTATTTCATACTAACATGTAATAATGCATAATAAAATCTTAAAAATAGTAAAAATCAACATGTTTAAAAGTAAATGTCTAGTCTAGTAATGTGTGATTTTACGGACCTATTCTACTATTGAACTTATTTTAGTTTCATATCAGATCAAACTTAAATAGAACAGATCGGATAAATAATTTACTATTATCTATAATGTCTGATCGATCTTGATGTTCCATTAAAATCTTTCTTTATTGATACTAATCGATTAAGTTTAATCTATTCTGAATTAATATGATTTTGATCTTATGTACGGAGTAAGATGAACGATTTCATTGCTCTCATAAATAAATAAACTAAGATACCAGTGACCTTTTCTCCCCATGGATGAGAGAGATATTTTAATATTTTGCCCTCAAAGATCACATGCAAGCTTTGGTGTTTTCAGAAACATTTAATATTAGGCTATATTGAGATGATCACTTCACGTCAAAATGAGGTGAAATATGATAGATTTGGACAATTAATTGACAATTGTTTGGATGAAGAATTGATTTGGGTTAGGTTTAAAATTAATTAATAATCTAATTTGAAAAGTTACTAATTATAGTGTTTCATTTCATACTTCTAATTTATGGTAAAGTTTTTCAAATTTTATGTTGTTTATATCAACACATTTATTATGATAGTTTTACATTTTCAACCATTATTTCAACTATATTACAAAACAAGCCTACTTTATTCGACTAGCATTTTAATTTCGACAACTTCTATATAGCTTCAGACAATCGTCTCTAAATTAGGCAATAGACTGTAACTTGAGCTCATTTTGGCCTTTTCATTTGAATATTACTAAAAAAAGACAAAAGACAAAAATGTTACATCTTTTCCAAAATTCTAAAAATGTGACTATTAACCCCTACAATACAAAGTGACTTCAATGAAAATGACTTCGACGTCACAGTGACTCGCCTCCACAGTGACCAACCGCCATAGTGACCAGCCGCCACAGGGCCCACAGTGACCCGCCGTCACAGTGACTCCGGCCAAAGTGACTCCTTGGCCACAGTGACCGCCGCCTACCCGCCACAGTGACTGCTGCCGCATCCCGATTAATGACTGCCACCACTCCACCGACCAGTTATTGCTTCCCCCACCCCACCGGTAACCGCCTCCGGCCAGTGACCGTCAACCACCACAGTGACACATCTAAAGTGACACCTCCGCAGTGACGTGCCACATTTACCCTTTCCAATAACCACCGCCGACCACCTCCACCGCTGCAGGCCACCCAGACTAGTGGGTGCCACCGCCACCGCTCGGTGATTGCTGTCACCACCAGTCACTGCCTCCCCCGGGCATTGACTGCTGCCCGCCGCCCGCCCCTGCCATTCAATTTCCCAACACCACTGTCACCGCCTCTGCTCACCCCACACCAACGTCGTTGCACCACCCCCAACCCGGCCTGCCACCCCAACCTTACCACCCCTGACCTTACCAGCCCCCTCCTCAACCATCCCAGGCCCCTCCCCGACCTTCCCAGCCCCCTCTCAAACTATCCCAGCCCCCTGCGCCGCCGACCCCAACCAGGCCATCCCCTAATGCCGCCCACTACCCTGCTCCCCTACTACGCCCATATCCCCCCCCAGGCCTCTCTGACTAGTTAGCACCACCATGGGCACCGGCGTGACTAGTCTCCTTCACCAGCCCCTCCCCAATCCAGGCCCCAGCACCCTTGCCAGCCCCGTCCAGCAAAGACGCACCCTAGCCCCCACCTAACAATGTCGCAACACGGCACCTCAAGCAACTTCCTACCATCAAGCCTAGCCCCTGCCACGAAATCAGGTCGGAACATAAGAAGGAAACCTCTCCAGATTGGATCTGGAATCACGGTGATTTGCGGTCAAGAAAGGACAAGAAGAATAATAAAGGAAGATCGGCACGGCAAATCCCTAGCTCGAGGGTCGTCGGCCTTCTTCAGAGAGGCGGACCGGCGGAGATGTAGCAGAGGGACGGCGACGCTCAGGCAGGCAGACCGGCGGAGAGAAGGCGCCATGGCCGTGCGAAGAGAAGAAGCGCATCAATCTTGTGCAGAAATGAAGGAAGATGACGCCATGGCCGATGGTTTATGGCGGCAGAGAAAAGGCCAGTGCTGTGCATAGCGTCTCTGCGGAGAGAGAGGAGAGAAGCTTGAAACACATATTTGGCTGAGACTGGCAATTCTTTCTCATTTTTCAATATAGCTGAGAGTTTTGTGTGGTCACTTCAAGATTTCAATAGGAACAAACAACGAGATCAAATGATGGTCTTTAGCACATTGTAGAGTTATCGATTGTAAGCGGGAAGTTATCGATAGTGATAACCCATATGTTCAATTTTTCAGTCAAATCAAGCACCTTTTTTTCTATATTATTTGTAATTTTTAATTTTGCGCGATGCATTTTTAAATATAATTCTAAAATATTTTAGTAAAATTTTATTTATTTGACCAAATTCAATTGATTTAGCTATTTCAAAATTATGAAAGAAAAAAAAAGCAATAAATAAGGAGTAGTATTGATCGGACTCACGACATTGACTCACGCCAAAAAGTCGCTTTCCTGCCTCTCAGAAAGTTTCCGTTTCTTTTCACTTCCGTCAATGATTCAGGTTCTGAAACTCAGTTCGACTTCCAGACTTTCTATACTCTGCACATCATATATATATATACGAGTTTGTGTTCATCTACAAGCTCATATTGTATCTATCTATTCAGTCGTCGGTGGTACAAGTATCATCGGAAATTCCCAGATTCGTAATCTCCTCCTCCTTTGCTGCTTTAATTTCTAATAAATATGCACTGTCTGAAAGTCCCCCTGCTATACTGCACTTTCTAATCGATGGCTTGCTCTCTTGAGTTAATCTTAGGAGTAGGAAATGTCTAAGCTGCAAAGTTTGTAAATTTGTACTTTTTTCTGTTTCGGTTGGATTGATCTCTCAGTGTTAATGGATTTGTGCACTAAGTCACACTTAGATTGAAGAATTTAAAGTAGAGTTGGTTGTCTTATGAGACTAGCTCTTCACCAAGTCACAATTAGATTGAAGAATTTAAAGTAAAGTTGGTTATCTTATGAGACTAGCTCTTCACTATATATGGAGTGCTTTTTAATAAATTATTTGTGCATGTTTTAAGTCATCATAAAGTAGGTTTTACTATGATATGCCAATTAAGCTCAAAAAATGGACTAGAATTTCAAGATTGGTTTGCTCCGATAAGACAATATCTTAAGCTGCCAAGAATAAATACTCTGTAGGAATTCAATTCACTACTTGGATTCACTCAAAAAGTAATTTTGAGAAGGAAAGCTGATTTGGTAACTTTGAACATTAATGCTCAATGTCTGGAGGGAATGGCATCCCAATTTTAATGATATTTTATTCTTTTTGGATATTTGATGCTCTGGTACTTTTCTTGTGACTAAACTGCTGCTATGCTTATCCATTCTTCTACTTTGTTGTGTTTAGAATTCTTTGGTTGTGCAATTGGATTGCCTTTCTTGGATGAGTTGCAGCAAAAAGGGAGCTAGTTTTGAGGTTGGAGTGTTTCCTGTCAGTAAATGTATTTGGATCATGCTGACTGGATAACAGATGTTCATGGCGATTGGAGGAGGGGGTTTCTTCTCTTCTTCAGCTTCTGGGTGTAACAAGGGACTTGCCTTTCTTCTGTTGCGCCAGAAAACTGGAGAAAAGCCTATGAGAGTTACTCCGTGTAATCAGTTCGAGTTGGCGGACAAAGAAACCAATTCTGATCTCCAGCTGGCTTCCTGCAAGAGCACATTTGTCCGCAGTTGCGCTTCCTTAGTCTGCTTTGGGCGGGCCTCTGCTACTGAACATGACAATCCATCACCCTGTTCCCCTTCTGTGAAGGCAAAGGATCAAACACATTCCTCTAGTCCTGTGAAAGAAGGGATTGCATCTGCCCAGAATGCCCTTAGGAGTAGCTTAAAGAAAAAAGCAAATATCACAAGATCTTCTAGTGAAAGTGGTAACGAATGTGGGGAAATAGGAGATCAGAGTAACGTTGGATTAGGTCCTACAGGGAAGAGGAAAGTACAGTGGACTGATACATCTGGTGGAGAACTTTTTGAGGTTCGGGAATTTGTGCTGAGGTATGGTATTCCTGATTATCCATTTAACATTCTTTTAAGTGGCCAGTAAGTTCATAATGTCTGGAACATTTTTTGGTTAAAGCATCTCACATAAACAATTTACCCACATCTCCGATGCTTCGGGCTGTTATGCGTCTTTGGACTTGTCGGGCATATTTAAATTTTAAGTTTTTTTCAAATGACCGCTTGTTATCATAGATGTTGAATAGTAATTAGTTTCTTCCATCCAGAATATGGTACATCTTAATTTAAATATGCCAGTATAACTCATTAGTTTAGACATGTGTATAGCCACATACATCTTTGGTGTTGTTCTAGACTTCTAGTATAAACCAAGGCCAGGTTTATTGTTTCCTTCAATAAAACAAAGCTCCTTTATCTGCCTTATGCTATATTTTCTTATGAGTTAGAATTGATCCAACTCTTATTGCATGTATTATTAAAACAGGCCCTAGTTTCGGAAGTGGCTGCTTTACTTTTTCTGCATTCTGCAAGTTATGTTATGTATCTCTTCTGTTTCTTCGGGATGCTTATCATTTAGTCATTGTGATTTGCAGTGAGGAAGATGACTCAGACAATGACTTTGACAGCAAGAGCCTGAGGAGTTGTTCCTGCAAGATTATGTAGTTTGTATTTTAATGAATGAATGATCAATTTGCATTCTTTTTGTTGACTAATCTTATTTGTGTTTGTTTGTATTCGATCTGCTCGAGTGACATGCTTTGTTACTTGGCTTTCTTAGTGTTATCTGTATGTCTGTATTTACATCATATATAACCATATTTAGAAGAGAAAACCCTCTTTTTGTCCTATGAGTATAAATCCTAGTGGAAGACCAAATATTTTGATGGAAAAAATAAATAAAATACCCCAAATTTTGAAGAGGTGTGAGATGAATGCTCCAAACTTACACATGTAACTTAAATACCCCAAATTTTATATAAAAAGTTATTTTAACACAATTGTCAAGCATTATTTTTTTCAAAAATGTAAATTTATGTTCTTAATTGCATAATTTAAAATATTTTAGAATTCATGAAGACAAAATTAACATTCTACATTTCCATTGCGAAATAAATAATGTAACTCCAATATATATAATTGCAACACTTTTAATTTGCAATTTTAAATTATGCAATTATAACCCCATAAATTTATATTTTTAAAAGAGATAATACATGACAATGGTGCGAAAATAACTTTTTATATAAACTTTGGGGTATTTAAATTACATATGCAAGTTTGGGGTGTTTACCTCACGCCCCATCAAAGTTTGGGGTATTTTTTTTATTATTATTTTTCCCTATTTTGATCGATAGAGAATGAAGTAAATTTTAACTTGCCATAAAAATACTTACCATCACTGTAATTATTTTTAGTCCCCCATGAACAAATATTCTCATTATTTCAGACAAACTTTAATTAAGAACCAAAATTTCTCAAATGAAGAGGACCCTATGTAAACCTAGGACGGTTAACGAATCCAGCTTTTATCGAAAGATTCGGTATCGAGCTCAATTTCGAACCTAACGAGTTGAGCTTAACGAGCTTTCGAACTCGCACCTGAGCTGAGTTTTAAGTTCGAAAAATTAATCAAGTCGAGCTCGGACATAGTAGTAGTCGGCTTGGTTCGAGCTCAAGCCTATCGAACACCCTGAAATCATAAATACGATTTATATATTTCAAAATTTAAATTTGATTAGTATGATTTTATGAATTTAAATATGATTATTAACGAATCGAATACTTGTCGAATAATTTGAGTACTAGCTTATTAACGAGTATCATTTATAATTTTAAATTTTAGCATATTTATCGAGCTTATTGAGCGCTCGTTTCGAACATCGGACGCCCATTGAGTTGAATGTGAGCCTTATTTGTAAAGCACATTGAGCTTCGAGCTCGAACTCGACAACAACCCCTCTTACCGAATTGAGCTGAGCTCAAGCTCTGGGTGTTCGGGCTTGGCTCGCTAACAAACCTATGTATACTAAGTCTATAACTAAGAGCCTATTTGGTAACACTGAAATCGGCTGAATCAGCTGATTATGCTGAAATTCATGAAGTTCTGATTGAAGTAGTTGTATTGACAGATTCTGCCGATTTATAAAAAAAATTAAAATATATTTTATTAATAAAATAAAGAAAAAAATATGAAAATAGCTAAAAACAACCTAAAATGATCATCTACAATAAACTCAAGTAGAGGTGTGCATCGGTTCAAAACCGGACCGGACCGAACTGGTCCAGAACCGGAATCGGATTTGCAAGAAAATAGAAACCGGACCGGATATATTCCGGTTTTGAACTAGAACCGAACCGGTTTAACCGGTTCAAAACCGGAAATGGACCGGAAAACCCATTTCTAAATTATAACTTAATTTACTAGCAAATACTCCGTACAACTTATTTGTTTTATAAATATAAGGGTATTTGTGACTAATAATATTACTATTATTATTTATTTAAATACTTTTATTAGTCTTAGAGAGCAAAGATTGAAGCAATTTGAGTGTAGAATAGTAGATATTAGTTCATACTATTATCAAGAAAATAAGAATAAACAGATGAATAAAACATTAGGACAATATACACTACAAATTAAAACATTTATTGTTTATATTTCTATCACTATTATTATTTTTGTTATTCTATAACTATTTTATGTTAATGCTATTAATTAATATCTTAAAAATATAGCAAAACCGGTTTAATCCGGTTCAAACTGGAACAATCTGGTTTTAACCAGAATTGGACCGGAAACCGGATGAATAAAATTTAAAAATCGAAAACCGGATAGGATATCATCCGGTTCAGTTCCATTCCGGTTTTTTCGGTCCGGTCCGGTCATGTTTTCCGGTTTAAACCGATTTATGAACACCGCTAACTTCAAGTCCTCAACCAATAAAACCAGAATAGTAACTTCAAACTTACTTTTTCTTATTATTACACAATTCAACGTGCGAAATAAAACATTACGTGTTTAGTTAAAAAATGTCTGATAAGTCGAAAAAAGAGTCACCAAATGGGCTCTAAAAATTAGGACGGGTGGAGTAGTAAAATTTGCATTGTATGTCTAATTCCACCTTTAATAGAGATTTAGCTACGGTTGATTAGTGATAACTGACTTTCAATCCCATAAGTTGTGACAGTAACACTTACCACACAAGCATATGATGCTAAATTTTCAAAAGGGGGTGTGGTCAATGACGGAGCCCGGGCACTGGACTGGAGTTATTCAGGACAAAGAAAAGTTTTGAGGAAAAATTACCCGAAATTTTTTACACTAAATATAAAGATATTTTTTAAAGTTGGGGTGGGGCAGGACCTAGATTGGCCCTCCCCTAGCTCCGCCCCTGGTTGAGACGATGTTGTGGCAATCCATACAGAGAGAGGACTGCAAAGGGGCAAAGCTATGGAGCAAAACAGAAGCACTCAAGCAAGAGGTGTTGAAAGAGCAGCTATAATGAGGTGTTGGTGATTATGGTTCCGTCTGAAAAGTCTGTTAAGTGTAAACTATTGAAGTGGCAGATATGTTGAAATCGTGCATAAAATGTGGTCATGTTCAACAACTTTAGACAAAAGACAGTCTCTAACCCAATCCAAAAAAGAAAGCCAATCAACTTCATTGTTAATCAAATAAGTTAGTATTTCATACAAAATATGGATGATAACGAAGGACCACTATATAGTACTCCCTCCGTCCCCTTAAGTTTGTCCCGTTTTACCTTTTTCGTCCGTCCCACTAAGTTTGTCCCATACTATATTTGGTAACATTTGAGTGGTTAGAATTCATTCTTACTTTGTTTACACTTTATCAATTCAATACCAACCACACAATTCCACTTTTTCTTAAAAACCACACCACACCCCTCCGTACCAAACTTAGGGGGACGGAGGGAGTACTATATTTGTTATTTTCTTATTATGGTAGAGTGAAGACCATAATTATCATTGATAAGTTCCTATCAATGGTATCAGAGCATACCAATTCTTGAGACGATCACATATGGAGGAAAAGATGGATACTATGGGACGTGTAGTAGTAGAACTCAACAACAAGATAGAGGAGAGGATGAACAACATGATGGATAAGATGTGGACTCTATTGCAGCAACAGGTTCGCCAGCGTACCGGGGGTCATAAAAAGGGTGAAGAGTTAACTTTGGGTCACAGCCTTGTCAGTGTTCTTGGTACTAGTGGAAAACAAGTGTATTTGGTACACTTCAATGTTAGAGTTATCCAGGTGGTGATTCAAAAAAATTGGAATGTCATTAGATACACCTTTGTGAGGCAGAAACAACTGGTATTTTGAAGGTTCAAGAACTAAAGATATATATATAGGTCCGAAATTGGTGAAGTACAGGGAAGGAAGAGGCACAAGAATGAAGCTGAAGCTCAGGGTTATTTTCTATCACCCACCTAGAGGACAAGGTGGTTGTCTAAAGGGGGAGATATGATAGAAACAAATGTAGAAAGTATAATAGTAATGGTAGATTTATAGTAAATAGTGTAATATGATATAAATAGGGTTTTGGGCCATGTAATTGCTGTAGTATGGGCCGGACTTTACTTAAATTTATTATATGTATGACAAGGAGGAAAGGAGGAAGTTAAAGGTCTGAAAATGAGTGATGTACTGGGAAGGAAGATGCACAAGGATGATGCTGAAGGTGAGGGCTATTTTCTGTCAACCACCTTGAGGACAAGGTGGTTGTCTAAAGGGGAGATATGATAGAAACGAATGCAGAAAGTATAGTAATAGTAGAATTATATATGGTATTAAATAGTGTGATATGATATGAATAGGGTTTTGGGTCATGTAATTATCATAGTATGGGCTAGACTATAAGAATAAATTTATTATAAGTATGGCAAGGAGGAAAGGAGGAAAGGAGGAAAGTTAGGCGGATTTTCTGGTTAGAATCGGGCGAGAGAGTGAGGCCTCTAGAAGAGTCTCAAACCTTTTTTATTAACAATCAACCTAGCCTCCAATTTGGATCAAAATGAATAATTACAAGGTTTTCTTACAGTCTTGCATCATACTTTATGCACAAATCCCAACATTACTTTGTTGTAAATACAAAAGCAGCATATATACTCTTTAGGAATAATAAAATGTGTCTGCGGGAAAACTGGAAGATGAACAATAAGTTGAATTTGAAATATTTATCTATAATATCTTTCTTCATTCATTAATCTTACTTCGCCCATTTTTACTTGGGTAAGATCCATAAGTAAATCAGAAACACGGTTACTACGTACTCCGTAAAATACAATAAGAATAATAAATTTAAAATAGACATTAGACACTAGAGGGAATTAGCACGGTCTGCTGCCACAGTGGATGGAAAGGGGTGCACACCCAAAGTACGGAGTTGAGGCTTGGGTTGAGTGAATGGAGTTGGAGGCAGTTGAAGTTGGGACTGCGTTTGAGTCGTTCCTCCTGGTCTTACAACGTTTGCAAACTGTTCCAGCAATTCTTTTAGGCTTGACAGAAGCTTTTAAGGCTATGTGGTGGCTGATCAGAAGTAGTAAAGACCATAGTAAGGTTTCACCTTTCATCTTGTGAAGACCTCTCTTGGAAGTAGCGCGGTGCAGGATAAGGTTGCATGTCCAGAAGATGGTTCCGACCAAATTCGTCAGACAGTGAGCTCCTAATTTGAACCAGTCCGGGATGTTTTTTATATCTTCATCTTTCTCAAAAGCTATACACAAAGCATCCCCTAGCCACTACATAGTCCACGTGACTAGAACAAAACAGCAAAAATGGAGCCTTCTTTGCATGTAAATCACAATACAAACAAGAATAAAGAGGCACACGGCCGCATATGCACCGACTATAAGCACCAGAGGCTGAGGTTTAGACATGGTGCGGGCTACTGAGCAGTGCCTGGAAGAGTCTCAAATCTATTTCTTCCCGTTTTCCACTACTGTTCGTTTGTTTATTGTTACGCGATTATAAATCTATTTCTTCCCGTTTTCCGCTACTGTTTCGTTTGTTTATTGTTACGCGATTATAGTCAGTTAAGGACATTCTTAGATCTCTCTGAAATTCCTAATTAATTTATCTAAAGTTCAGGTGTGTGTGGATAAGTTCCTATCATAGGTATCAGAGCATATTGATTCTTGAGACGGTGGATTTCTTGCACACGATCGCGGATGGAGAAAACGATGGATACTATGAAACACACAATAGTAGTGCTCAGCGACAAGATAAATGAGAGGATGAAAAACTTGATGGATGAGATGTGGACTCTATTGTAGCAATGGAATCGTCAGCGTAGCATGAAACATAAAAAAGGGTGAAGAGTTAACTTTGGGTCACAAACTTGTTAGTGTTCTTGGTACTGGTGGAAAAAAATGTATTTTGTACACCTCAGTGTTAGAGTTATCAAAGCGGTGATTCCAAAAAATCTCGGGAAATCAAAGAAACATTTGTCACAATGAAGGACGTGAAGGCTACTGCAAAGAATGGAATGTCGCTAGAACACCTTCTGAGGCAAAAACAACTGGTATTTTGAAGGTTCAAGAATTGAAGTTGAAGGTCCAAAAATCAGTGATGTACTCAAAAGGAAGATGCACAAGTATGAAGCTGAAGTTGAGGCCTATTTTCTGTCATCCACCTTGAGGACAAGGTGGTTGGTTGTCTACGGGGTGAGATATGATAGTAGTAGTAATAGTAGAATCATATTAAATCGTGTGATATGGTATAAATAGGGTTTTGGGCCATGTAATTGAGCCAGTATGGGCCGGCCTTTAAAAATAAAATTACTATAAGTATGGCAAGGAGGAAAGGAGGGAGTTAGGCAGATTTTCTGTTAGAATCGGGCTCAGAGAGTGAGGCCTCTGGAATAGTCTCAAATCTATTTCTTCTCTTTCTTCATGTTTTTCACTATCGTCTGTTTGTTGACCATGAAAATTTGGTTTGATTTAAAACCCAAAAATTGTATAACGAACTGAACATCGGGCAACTAGTAATATATATAAGAAATAATTTGTATTTATCTTCATTCCTCATTTTTAGAATATAAATAAATAATTTAGATATGAAAATACATGTTTAGCATATATCATTTTAACTTTTACTCGTTTCATACTAGGGGTGGGCATAACGGTTCGGTTTAACCGAACCGAACCGTACCAAACCGAACTAAACCGAACCGAAACCGAACCGTATGCAATTTGGTTTTAGTTTGGTACTATTTCTTTCAAACCGTATTAAACCGAACCGAACCGAACCGAAACCGATAAAAACCGAACAAAACCGAACAAAACCGAACCGAACCGAACAACACACACACACACACACACTTTGTATTTATCTTCACTCTTCATTTTAAGATATAAATAAAAAATTTAGACATGAAAATGCATATTTAAGCATATACTCGTATTATTTTAACTTTTACACATTTCAAACATTCATTATGACAAAGTTAGCTAATACGACATATTTGTATTTATTATGGTTGGCGATATCAATAGCAAATTGTATTTATATTTCTATTTCTATTTCTGTGTGAGTCTTTGGTTTAGTTTGTTTCAATTGGTTTAGTAGGTGAAGGCATGTTGTTTAAGCTAGGTTCTAGTATTTCATTTAGTTGGAATTTCAATTGGCAGGTTGTTTAAGCAGGTGAAGGCAAGTTGTTCATTTGGTTTGGTGAAGGCTGGTTCTAGTATTTCATTTAGTTGGAATTTCAATGAAAACAAAACATTCAAAATTACTCATTTACTCAAAGTGGATTGTAACATATGAAACAAGACATAATCATTTTCAAGTTTATAAACCGAACATCAAACCGAACACCAAACCGAACCGAACCGAATTTTTCCCAAACCGAACCGAAACCAAACCGAAATTCTTTTGGTTTGAGTTTGGTACTATTTTCCTCAAACCGAATAAACCGAAACCGAACCGTAAACCGATTCGCCCACCCCTATTTCATACATTCATTATGACAAAGTTAGCTAATATGACATATTTTTATATGTTATAATTTGTACTCTACTTGCATTAAAAGATGTTTGACGATAAGAATAGCAAATCACAATTATATTTTATGTTAGACATTTGAATATCAACAATCATAGCATGATAAATTAAGTGCTAATTTACTATATTTTATTATTTCTTTTCCTATCTTTTATTTCTCTTTACATTTTATTTAAATAATAAATACAAGAAGATGATATCACTTGCTATTTTCATTCTAATTCTAAAATATAAAATAATAAATTTCAAATCAAACTAAATTTCACTTTGGTCAACAGAACTTCAAACCACACAAACATAGATGGTTTTATTTTGGTACAATATGTCCCAAACTGAATAAACGGAAATCAAATTGCCCACCCCTAGTTACACCATTCACCATTGTAGTTGTTTAAGGACATTCTGAGATCTCTGAAATTCCTACTTGATATATCTAAAGTTCTGCTGCGTTTGGATAAGTTCATATCATCCATCTTTAACGTGAAAACAAAGATAACATGACAAAAAATGTATAATTGTATAAATAACAAATGGTGTAAAGTTTTCTTCGATGTTCCCACTTCCCAACCATACCAAGAAGTAACTTCTTTCTTTTGTCAACAGATTAAGTAAAATAAGTACTTCTAACTATCTCATTTTGCTGACATGGATTTACCAAATATTTTTTCTTTCAGAAATTCAAAAGATCCAGGCTCATGAGCCAAACCACCCTTGCCAAAACCGCACTTTCTGTCTTTGGAAACTTTCTTTTGAGAAGATAACTTGAAAAGTAGCCTATCTGGGCTGTTATTAGCCTGCTCTTGGATGGGATTAGTAGCAGAACAGCCAATATGCCAGTATCCCACATGTATGCAAAAAGAGTGCCCAAGATTTGCCTGGTTGTCTATCCAACAAATATGTAGTTCAGTTTGTTCTCCAATGCCACATGCCCCCTTATCATTAATCCAACCATCATTTTCCTTTCAAAAAAATGCCATGTAACCTGACTCCAATGCCTTTCCTTCCTCTCAATAAGTAAACGGCACAGCTTATCAAATTCTTGGGCAATTAAGCACCCAAGGTAGCAACAAGGTGGGTCCCTACTGAACATTAAGAAAACACCAATGGCCATCTATTATTCCCTCCAAATAACGCTTGCCCAATCTGAGACTCATCCAAGACTGGAGCCCTCTCAGCTTCAATAGAACATGGCCACAAAGGTGAAAGTGCAACAACCTTCCCAATGATGATCAAAGTTGGTGATACCAGTTGGTGTGAAGCAACTTCATCTGCTAGATTGTTCAATTCCGCAAATACCTGAATTCATTTTAAAGAAAAAAGTATGCAATAAAGCTACACCAAAATAAGTGTAAAAGTACACCATTGAATTGGTACATTATTTTTGGCATTATAAACTCAAGTTAATGTTTAAGATTATATTATGCATTACTATCTCATTGCAGAGGAATGTAATAACGTAAGCTGTCTTCTTGATCTCAAACCGGGGGTGGGTGGGTGGAGTGGGTGGGGGGGCACCTGAGTTGGTGGGCTAATTTGACTAGCAACCATGACGTTGCAAGTTCACTTGTCGTTGGTTCTACTGATTGGCTCATTGGGCTTCTTGGTTTGAGCCTGCTTGCTATGCCTAGACTAGCTTACCTCCCTTGTGGTCCTTTTTGGCTAGGTTCACAAGGCGGATGGAGGACAGAGGGTTACCAGGTGCACTTCTTGGGTTTAGCATATGCGGGTCCCCACGTAATCAAAAAAATGAAACCAATGCTGCAGATATGCATTAATAACTTACAGAGCGTTGTTGTAGTGTGGTCCCTCGTTCGACAGCAGCAGCAGGTGTATCAGGGGGTAGGCCGCCATGATGCATCAACTTTGAGACCAGAGATGGAAGAGTTGACAGTCCCATATAAACAACCAAGGTGGAATCCAGGTCTGCTACTGCATTCTCTGCTGTTACATATAGAGGCTCTTCTGTTCCTCCTTTTCCTGAGTGGCCTGTCAGAAACCTAACACTATTAGAGACCCCGCGGTGGGTCAATGGGATTCCAAGCTCTGCTGCTATTCCGGATGCTGCAGTAATTCCTACACACATTAACCCATCAGGATAAAATGATTTTCATGTCATGAGAATGTTAAAAACATGTAATGAAGTATTTAAAAGTTGATTTGAAAAAAAGTACTCCGTATTTAAAAGTTAACACAAACATTACTTAGGTCCAATGAGAATATGGTATGAATTAAGTTATATGTGGTCCTGAGATGATCTCTTTATAATATACACCTAAGCAACTCCTCCTTTGAAGTTTCAACACCTCTTAAAGCTGTTTTTTTCATCTATTTTCTGTTTTAAGATTTTGAAATTGCTTTATATTTGACATTCCTCCATCTTTAATCCTTCAAGGGCAGATCCAATGCCATACCCCTGCGTCGCTAAAAGAACTTTCATTCCACTATTTACTTGGTCAAATCACTCTCAATCGTTGGTCAAACATGTAGTTTCTGAATATATAAATTTTATTTACTAAAAAAGATCTAAGTTTTGACGGGGATCATTGAACTTTATCGTTGGTCAAACATCGTAAACCGCGGTTGGAAGTTCTTTTAGGGACGGAGGTAGTATGTTATTCAAATTGTTGTTCAAAGTGGACTTGTCTTCACAATGCTAAAAGTTTCATACCAGGTATGACTTTCACTTCAATTCCTCGTTGTCGTAGAAAGTCCATCTCTTCCCCACCCCGCCCAAACACCTATTCACCAAAATGTATGTAACTGGTATCATAACAGACTCCAGTTGGTATTAAAATGTAAAGTACTGAAAATGCCAAAAAGAAAAAAGTGCTCACCAAGGGATCCCCTCCTTTTAACCGCACAACAGTGGCCCCAACTTCAGCAAAACTAAGAAGCAACTCATGAATTTCTACCTGCAAAACCTAAAATGTTGGCTCGTAGCTTACTGCATATTGTGACTACTCTTGTTTGCACATATATCAGTTCCACCCTATTCTGAAATTGATTAGATTCAATCAAGAACAACAAAACCAGTTCATAGAGCTAACCTGTGTTCTGCTGTGGTAACCAGCAGTTTTGCCAACATATAGAAGCCTGACATGAGGACCCACCAGGTTGAGCACATCATTGGAAACCAATCTATCATATAGCAGCAAATCAGCATTCTGAATCACTCTCAACGCCTTAAGAGTCAACAACTCTGGGTCCCCAGGCCCCGCTCCTACCAGAAACACATTAGTAGGACAACTCTTCCCAGCATTGCCATTTTCCACTCGCTTCTCTTGAAGCAAGTCAAGCAACTTCTGGAGCTCAGGAATCTGCTTCTGAGCAACGTTATCATAGTCCATGATCCCAAAGTTTGGGTCAGCTGGGAGTGGGCACGAGGAGGATGGCTGCTCCAATTGGTTCTTGTACATCCAGCTGTCCCTCTGGTACTTCTCAACTGAGTGCCTCTCAGTGAATGGCGAATTGGAATGAGGTGGATAATGGATTGAGCAAAGTGGGTTTAGGGGAAAAGATCCAATTTTTTTCAATCGGAAATTTGATGAAGAAAAAGATATACAATGAAATTCGCTCAAAAAATACATTTTCGCAGGAAATGAAGGATATTAGAAGAATTTAATTATTGTCTATAAAACCTGCTTGTAATGTATATGTATGTTTGTGTCATTTGATGTTCTGGAGGATGAAAAGTTTGATTTGCATTGGAGATGTCTATAAGCTTTTGGGCGATGAGGAGGCAAAATATAAGTCTTCTTCTTTGTAGGGCTAAGTTCAACTCTTCTTTGATGGGATCAATCTCTGATCTTCTATTGTGTGACAAAGATTTTGATCAAGCCATTTAAGACAAAAGTGACTATGTTGAGACAATAATAACCCTCGGTTGGTTTTCTGCAACAAAAAAAACAATTCCTAATGTTATGATTTTGCTGTGACTGTTGGATTTGACCCTGGACAAGAATGTAAAAGCGAACTCCCAGCAACGAAATCTGATGACGTGATATAATTTTTTCAAACAGAACACTGGTCAAATGAACAGTTAGCATGATGTGTCGTCCAGCGGAGCCTAGAAAAAGTTATAAATGCAGAGTCTAAAAGTTTGCAAACTATACATTCACGACTTGAGAAGTTAAAACCTTTAGGCTCTGTTTGCAAGTGATTGTGCTTAAATAAAAGCACTTTTTGGGAAAAAGTGATTAGTAGTAAAAGTTGGTAGTGTTTGGTAAAATAAATGCTTTTGTGTAATAGAAAAAGTAAAAAGTAGATTATACACGAAAACCGAGAAAGTAAAAGTTGGTATTGTTTGGTAAAATAAGTGTTTTTTTCTTCAAAAAAAGCCAAAAGCACTTAAATTAATTGTTTGCAAACAAAGCCTTAAAGTAAAATTGTAGTCAGACATTTTTATCACTAAGGACTACCCATGGAAGAAACGAAGTACGGAGTATAAATATAAGTTTTTCAAAACATGAAATAATGTATTTCAATTTTACACTCAACAATAAGAAACAAACTCACTAATTGTGTTGTGCTCTCTGGTTCTCAACTTCAAGCTATATACTCGTATATTGTTAATAACTAAATTTCCAATTTAATTAAGAAAGATCAGTTATGAAAGAAACAATAGAAACTTGGAAAGAAAAGCTATTATGCATACATATATACATATGCCTACACACACATAGCTACAGAGTGGCAATTATATCAATCAGGGCCGGTCCTGTATGTTTGAAGGCCTAGGGCGGCAAGGTTGATAGTTTAAAATGGGCCTAATCTTAAAAAAATGTAAAAAAAAATCTATCTAAACTAACATGCATAGTAATATTTTAGGATCTTTATAATAAAGTAAAAACTTAAATTCGTTAAATTGAACATGATAGAATCACAGTTTCAAAATAAATTTGTCAAAGCATGTTTGGAGCGGCCGAGAAGGTCAAGGCGCATCGCCAAAGGTTAATTACGTAATTAAAGGACAAGTAATTAAAGTTGAAACATTCGTATCATCCAAATCAATTTTTGCTTGCACACTAACATTACTATCAAATCAAATTCCAAATTTTCACCTCCTGTGACATGATCATTCTGAACCGTTTCATTTTCGATAGTTAAATCATTATTCTCCCCTAAGTTCATGTCTTGAGGAGGACATTTAGGATTTGATTTCTTCACACAAACAAATTTTTTCATCGAACCTTTTTTTTTACTAAGGGCCGCTTTCTCTAATCTTCTCCTCTTTTTTTCTTTCCCCATCAAGATTCAACCATTTTTATTACACCTTGAAATAATTAAATTTATAGATCTAATCCTAATTGCAAACTTTTACCTGAAAAAATCAATAAATTATAAAACCAACACTCATTACATACAATCAACAAACAACAAATGAACTAATTACTTATAAACAGTAAACAATTATGAATGAAATCAATTGATAAACTAATCAAACAATCATATTAATCAATAAAAGAAAAAGCTTTAAACTCTAAAACAGTGAGGCCCTTAATAAGGAAGGAAGTCGGAGGAGGAGGAATACCTGAAGGGCTGAGCCGCTGAAGCGGTGATTCCGGTGAAGGCGTTAAGCCTGAAGCAGTAAGCAGGGGGCACCAGAAGGATGAGGAAGTGAGGAGTGAGGACTGCTGCCTGCTGGAAGCGTACGCGTCGACTGAGAAGCCGAGAAGGGCACGGCGCAGGGCGGCCAAGCGTCGTCGGTAGAGCGGTCCGTGGACTTGGCACTTGACGTTCGTGGATCCGGTTGACTGCTGCGGTTAGTCTGTTCTTGGGCCGTTGGACGACTGGGCTAGACAAAAATATTACCCAAGAACATCCCCATAATTTATATTCCTTTCACATGTTTTTTGGGTAATTCTATTTACTACTTATCACAGCCCCTTCATTAAATAATAAAAAGTCAAATTAACTCAATTATCTAAATTGCCCCTTCACAACAATCACTAAGGGGGTGTTTGCAATTGCTTCAACTTTAAAAAAGTGATTTTTTAAAGTGATTTGGGGAAAAGTGATTAATAGTAAAAGTTGGTAGTGTTTGAGAAAAAAGTGATTCTGAAAAAGTAAAAGTTGGTAGTGTTTGGTAAAATAAGTACTTTTTGTGTAATAGAAAAAGTGAAAAGCAGTTTAAAGCACCCTTCCACCTGCTTTCAGCTTTTAGCTTTTAAGTGATTAATTTAAGCAGAAGTTGTCATTTGAAAACACTCTTTTTAACTTTTTTTAAGCCAAAAGCTGAAAAGTGCTTTTTTTAATCAACTGCAAACACTCCTTAAGTGAGCCGTCGTTAACATCCTTATCACGCGGATGTTTGGGATGCACTGGCAGCCCAACTCCCGTTAGGCGTTGGGAAAAGTATGAAAAGTATAGTAGTCTATTTTCTTTGAAACATAGCTTGAGAAAAGTATGAAAATTGTGATGTTTAGACTTGGGAACCGAACATAACTCCGAGATTGACTACAAAGGATGCAAATCTAACAAATGGGGACTATGAGAGTATAGTAGTCTATTTTCTTTGAAGAACTAAATAAACAAATTCACAAGAATTTTTAACATTTCTCTCCACTTAATACTCACATAGATGATAGATCCACACAATTATTGAATTAGTTTAAATGCCTGCAGTTCCAATAGAAATAAATATTATTTACCTCCTGAAGTTTTCTGGAATATTCCCTTCTGATGTTCAAAACAATTTCAGCAACCCAGGGTTCATGTTTGGAGGAATATCAGCACCACTATTGGTTGATATGGCATTAGCATTGTTCCTTCAAACTAAAACCTGATTTTTAGTTTCTTATTTGGGCTACAAGCATTTTCAGTGTTCATAAAAATGTACCTAACAAAACTCTACTATTTTGCTTACAATTTAAAGTTCTCATTCTATACCTAGGTAATTTCCCCTTGTTGGAGGATGACTTGTTTGCGGCATATATGTTTGGTGCATTGTAGCTCCTAAAGATAGACCTTTAATCCTCCTGAATCAACCATTCTAGCATTGAGATCTGGTAACATACCACTACACTTATCCTTAAGGGCACATTTGGAACTTCGAAAATGCTAGAATAAAGACCATGACATCTAAAGCGAAGACATATGTAAACTTTTCAAAAACATTTTTTATGTTTTCCTTAGCTCCTAAAGATACACTTCTCATGCTTATGGTATTAAACATTACATATAAGATGAAGAGTTTTGGTCATTGGTACATTTCTATGAGCTCTGTTTGTGCCTGAACGTACTCAGGGGCAGATCTAGCTTTGGCCGTCATGTGGGGCCTACATTTAATTAACTAATGCATATTGCACATAAAAAGTCAAAATTTAATATCATAATGTCTATTTCACAGATTTTATTTCCAAGTATAAAATAACATCCATTGTAACAAATAATCAAAGACAAAATTAAATATTTTAGGATGAAGAGTTTTCATCAAAGTCAAATACAAAAAAGTTACAACTTTACAACTGTTATCTATGAGTTTTTATTGACAAATATCATTTGATGAGATCATTGTCAATTTTCAATAAGATGTCTTTTTTATATAAACAATAAGTCTACCATTGAGCGAGTCATCATTCATCTGGTTGCTCAAACTACCCTTCACAATATTTATTGCCGAAAATACTCTTTCAACGCTAGCGATTACAACGAGAAGAATCAATGCCAAAGTCAAAAATCACATTCATAATAAATTCATACTAAATGTTAAAACTAGTGAGTGGCTCACTCAAATGATCAAATGACTTAAATTGAATAAAATTCACCCAAATATGTGGCACAGCTAAACAAACTTGGTAAAATAGCAGTTAGGAGAAATAGAATAACAAAAAAACAAACTTACCAGCAAGACGGCCAGGCAATGAAGAGGGAAAATGGCTGGCAGAGCACTGGAACAGTTGAGTTCTAGAGAGATGAGAGGCGAGAGTGATTAGCGCAAAGAGCAGGGGCGGACCCAGGAAATCCGTCTTGGGGGGGTTCAAAATATTTTTTGGGAGGCGAAAATTATTTTTTTGGGGGGTGAAAATTATTTTTCGTATAAATATACCCTAGAATTTTTTTTGTTGGGGGGGGCGGTTGCCCCCCTGGATCTGTACTACGGTCCGCCCCTGGCAAAGAGGCTACTAAGCTAGAGGCTAATCCGACAGCCTTGCCGTCGTGCGCCGACAGTCTGACGAAGAAGGCCAAACGGACCACTGACTGGCGAAGTAGCGAAGAAGTGGAAGAGTATAGGGGTTTGGGTTTTTGCCGAATTGCAAATAGTCGATTGATGAATCAAAAAAACTTTTGGTACACATTTTTCATACACACACCTACACATGTTTGTGAAGAGTATTTTTTTGTCTGTATACAGACATAACGTATTTGAAAATGTGTTATGTCTGTATACAGACAAAAAAATACTCTTCACAAACATGAGTGTGTAGGTGTGTGTGAAAATGTGTACCTCAAGCTTGATTGATCGATGAATAGCCTCTGCAAGTCACAGTTAAAAAGCAGCTTTCTTACTTAGTCACACTTTAAACTTCTTCAGTTTCCAAATTTACATCTTGCCCTTACCATATTGTTACTCCTCTTCCCGCTACCCCCACCCCGCCCTACCCTAATACCACAACCCCACCCCGACCCCACCCTACCCACTATCTCCATCCTCATACCTTACTCCTTACCCCTACCCTACTCGACCATTACCCCACCCCGCGTACCCCACCCCTACCACATGCCCTCATCTCGGTCCCACCCCGATCAACCTACCCCTACCTCGCCCCACTCGACCCCTAACCCCTAGGCTCTTACCACCCTACCCTAACCCCCTACCCCTACCACATTGGCCCCACCCTGACCCCATCCTACCCTACCCCCAGGCCCCTTACTACCCTACCCCATTACCCCAACCCCCTACCCCTACCATCGGCCCCATCCCGTTGGGGTAAGGCAGGGTAAGGGGTAGGGTGGGGTAGGTTGGGGTCGAGGTAAGGTAGGGTAGGGGTAGGAGTAGAGTAGGATAAGGTGGGGGTAGGGGTTATGGCTCTCGTAACTCATAACGAGTAAAAAGTTATGATTTCTGCAAAATCAGCACTATTTAAGTTTGAAATTAGTAAAATTGTTATGCGTAATATTAATTATATTCACAAAATAGCGTGTAATTCACTCATTACTTACGTGACATGACCTAGGGATAGAGCAAAGACAACATATCTTACTACTACGAGTGTCTACTCAATAAATGATTCTTTTCTAGTAAGAAATCTTGATACTAAACCGAGTAAGATCGAAGAGAACCATAGAGTATTAGGGTACGTAAGACAATGGGTCTCATTTAAGGTACTCAACTCAACCCGTATAAAACAAGTTTATAATATACTCCGTATGTGACATATACGAAGTATATTAACTACATATACTCTATTAGTTTCATTTAAACTATCATTTATCTAAGCTACATTCAATTCGGGTATTGTCTAAAAATAATCTACCGTTTTGATTCTATGTAAATTTGATTTCGACCCCGCTGAGTCATTTTTCTGGCTCCGCCCCTGGAAGGGGGTATGGGTACACGTACGAGGTGACCCCACATATTATATTACATATTTGTGTTCATGAATGACTGTGTGTCTATATATGTATAGGGTTATTTTGGACATTTTAATCTTAAACGGTGTTTTAAACTCTTTGAAGTAAACACGATCTTACAACATTGCTTATTTTATGCGCCGCTTATTAACGCGGGTCTTAATAAGCACCGTTTAGTAACCCGTGAAATAAACATGTCCTAAGTTTTTTTTGTTCTTTTGAGGATAGGCCTGATTTTTATACCTACATACTAGTTTTAAAAAATAAAAAATTGAGGTTGGGCCTAGGCCCTCCCTAGTGCTAGGCCCAATCCGCCCCTGAACGTACTCCTTACTCCCTCTGTCCCCCAATTAAGTTCCCAATTTTTTATTTGGGCAATTCCTAAATTAAGTTCACACTTCAATACTTTCCTTATTTGGCAAATTATCTACATCAAAACAGTGCCAAACAGTGTTTGAACAGTGCACTCCAAATTAAGTCAAATTTATTTTCTTAATATGTGTGAAGTGAAACCGGGAACTTAATTGGGGGACAGGGGGAGTATAACATTTTCAAATATAGTGCAAATTCTAAACAATCAAATGAAAAGAACATGCTTATGGTCACAATCAATTCAATTGAATAATTACATGTCAACAACTACCTGTTCCAAAGAGACAAACGGCAAGCTTGAGAATGATGCTGGTTCGAGACTTCTTAGTCTTCTTAGTCACCTTCTCGAGAGTCAGAGAGCTTCCGCTTCAAGAACCGGTCTTCTCCTTCTCGGTCGACGACTACACGGTGGCTTCACTTTCAGATGCGGTCTCTTTTCGCTTACTCATCGTGGATATATCTATGGACTAGAATCATTCGTCTCGCTTTCTCGAGACAGCTTCCAAGCTCAGACAACAGATAAATGGCCGGAGCAGACGTTAAATTCAACTGACGGGCGTTAAGTTTTAAGGGTATAGTTGTGATTAGGAAAAATAACATCGGTTATGGTGTGTGTTTAGCAAAAATAGGGCTGCCAACAGAATTCCCCATGTTTTTTTTTACTTTTAAGGCTTTGAGCTGAGGGGGCAACATTTCCTCCCTCCAGCGCTGTATGTCCCATACTTCATTCTGGTGAATAGACAAAATCGAAAACCGAATAAAGAAAACCCGAATTGCAGGTAAAACAAACCAAGTCGCAACAAATTCAAAAACAAATTCAAAAAACCAAACTGCATCGTGATTGGTTGATTTTGTTTTTCACCTCTAAAAATCGAACTAAACGAATCCATATTTTTAAAATATGCAACTTTTTTTATTGATCATTAAGTGTGATATATTATTTAGTTCTTAATTCTGAATTCTAGAAAGTTAGAACTCATTTGGTAACACTGGAATCATCCGAATTGGCTGATCCTGCTGAAATTTATGAAGTTATGGCTGAAGTGGCTATATTGATTGATTCTACTGATTTATGAACAATTATATTTAAAATATATTTTGTTATTAAAATGAAGAAAAAATTACTAGGGGTATATGAAAAATAGCTAAAATGGTCATCTACAGTAACTTTGGCCAATACAGTCAGAAAAGTAACTTCAACCTTACTTTTTCTTATTACGTAGTATTACACAATTCAACACGTAAAATAAAAAAGTTACCTGTTGGTTAAGAAGTTGACGAATAAGCAAAAACACGGAGTCACCAAACGGGCTCTTAATGTTTGATACAAGATTTATTATGATACATAAAATATTACAATTTCATATTTATGTTTTAATTAAGTGTAACACTTATATATACACTTTAGTCTCTAGCTATATTATCAATATTTGGATATTTTAAATCGCAAATTACATTTTATTTATTGTTGCATGCTAATGATTTTCTTTTGGGAAGTTGCTCTAAATAGCAGTGAATACATTTTTCATTCCAAAATAGGAATCCCATGATTTTATTCTCTAAATAGGACTAATTATTGTCATATTTTGGCAGTATCAGACTTTAAACATGACGGCATTTTCAAAACTTGGCAGCAATTATTCTTATTTAGGGAATAAAAGCATGACAAATCTATTTTGAAATTATCAAATGTTTTTAGTCGTAGTGTTTCGTGAATTTTTCCTTTTCTTTTATATTAATAGTACTTTTGTGTTTAATCACATAACTTTTATGACTGAGAAAATATGTATTAATCTAAACTGTACTTTCGACAACATATATATTATTCTGATACTTTTAAACAACTAAGCAGAAAACGTGAAACTTTAGAGCGTATATACTTAACCTAATAACTCGTGATTTCGAAATTTGAAAGATAAAATCACACTGAGTCGGATTTCCACTCGTCCCTAGATAAAATCACCTAGTTTTAGGTCAAAACCGAACTCGCCCCTACTTTTTTTCAATTAACATAAAAATTAAATGACTGACATTTTATCTGTAAAAATTGAAGTTAGGTGAACTAATGAAGAGTCTCCTATATGAAAATGGATGACACTTCATTCCTGAAATATAGAGTTTTATGAATTGAAGCTGTAAGTTTGATGTTTTCATATGATTTTCTTTTATTGGAATGAAGACGTAATATTCTATATATTTACTACTCATATGAGTGTTATTAATTGGAGCGTAGGTCAATTGTGTACGTAATAAAATCGTATTTTAAAAGAATAAAGTTTATATAAAGGTTTATACAAGTACATACAAGTTTTACTTTAAGTTTAAATACAGGTTTCACCTCTATATATGTATTCCAATTAATAATCATATTAATAGGTAAGTATGTAGTTTTACCCACTATCCATCATAGATCATGGAATATATATAACATGTCGTTGGATATCATTTTATCGTAATGACTTCGATTGGTAGTTCTTACAGATGGATGGAGTTTGGTATTATTATTACTATGTCATTTGAGATAACATTGACAATAGTTATCCTATCCAGTCAGAAGAATTTGGGCTAAAAGAACTTTTTGTCACTTCTTACTATTTGGCATGGCTGGAGTATTCTTTTTTGGGTTGTCTAAAGTCTTAAATCCAAAGAAGTTTTGTCTCTTCTTAGTATTTGGCACTGCTAGAGTTTTTTTATGGGTTCTAATTTTAGGGAAATCTATCTTAACGATTGATCTACAATATATCATAACCATTTATCCAGTATCTTCCTTTTCACTCTTTAGGCATGCTTCTCTCTTAATCCAATTTATAATATTTTGCTTTCTTGACTTCTCAACTTTTCTTACATTTGCACAGTTTCTTTGTTAAGGATTTCTCTCCATTCTCTTCTTCTATGGTTGGTTAGTTGTTCTAAAGGGAGCTTATCGATCTCCATGTTGATGACTTTAGTCCTTCTATGGTTGATTATTGTTGCAGGGGCTTCGTTATGATATTTCTGCTCAGAAAACTCACATAGTATCAACTGATTTTCTGCACAAACATAGATATAAGTTGTTACTGTGAAATAGATTGGTGCATGGTATATGCAAGCACTAGGGAAAGTGACTTTGCTTCATTTGATATGTGCAAAGGTGTGTCATATGGTTCCATCTTCAAGTGTTTTTGGGGTTTGCTTTTTATATATTGTTTCTTTTTCCAAAATTAATGTTTGCCCTCCGAATTCTTGGGCAATATATATAAAAGGACAGGTCAACACCTCTTAACATAATGTTTAGGACAATTCTAAACTGATAATATGTGACAATGTCATTGTCAAACAAAACATTGTTGATAGAAATATATAAGTAAGGGAAAACTATCAAATAAGTCCCTGTATTATGCCGAAAAAGTTGATTAGGCCCTCGTACTTTACAAACACTCAATTAAGTCCTCGAACTATTAAAAAACGTTCAATTAAGCCCTTTTGGTCAGTACGTAACCGGTTTCCCGATTAAACGGCGACGACGGCGACGATGTGCTCGAACCCTAGCAACGGCGGCTGCCGGGAAATGGGTTACATTTAACCGGGAAACCGGTTACTTACTGACCGAAAGGGCTTAATTGAACGTTTTTTAATAGTTCGAGGACTTAAATGAGTGTTTGTAAAGTACGAGGGCCTAATTGACTTTTTCGGTATAGTACGGGGGCTTATTTGATAGTTTTCCCTATAAGTAAAAGGAGTAGTAATAAAAACATTTTTATTTCTACATTCCCCGAACAATGACAAAATTGAATGCATATAATCTAAGCTAAACCATCCTTTCCTTTCCTTTCCTCTTCTGAAGTTTCTTCATGTAAAACTCCAGCTAGCTCCTTGCCCTCCAACATGTAACCCATAATCACGACCACACTGGCTAGACCTTGAAGCAATTGCGGCTTACAAGCGGCCTCTTATGAATCGCTCCTCAGTATGTGGATCGATTTTATGGTCTATTTTAGGAGTAACAGACTTCTTCTTGCGACCAACTTCAACTCCATGGTGCTGGACTGCTGGAGACACCACTGCTTAAATGGTGCATCAACCACTTGAACGATTGCACCCTTAACCAGTGTTTGGGTCCTGACAAACTCTTTGTTTGAGGCATTATAAATCACATCCAAAATCTTGGTCTTCCTGGTGAGAGCTTCACCTCCCCAAGAATAGTTCCCAGTCCCCAATGGGCTCTTAATGTTTGATACAAGATTTATTATGATATGCAAGATATACAAGTTTCATATTTATGTCTTAATTAAGTGTAACACTTATATATACACTTTAGTCTCTAGCTATACTATCACTGTTTAAATCGTAATTTACATTTTGTTTATTGTTGTATGTTAATGGTTTTCTTTTAGGAAGTTGCTCTAAATAGCAGTGAATACATTTGTCATTCGAAAATAGGAATCTCATGATTTTATTCTCTAAATAGGACTGATTATTGTCATATTCTGGCAGTACACAGGTGCAAAAACGCCATTTAGAGGCGCTTTTTTTTGTACACGTGCGGCGCTTTATGGTGCCTCTAATGAGTAGTGCCGCAACGCGTTTTTGGAGGCGCTTCTCTGGAAGAAAGCGCCTCCATTTTTTTATTTTTTTTTATTTTCGTCGCTGGACGTGCGGCGCTTCTTTGCCAAAAAGCGCCTCTAATATTAAAAATATATGTGATGCGTGTGGCGCTTCTTTGCCAAAAAGCACCTCCAAATGTGAATTTAACAGAGTTTTTAGAGGCGCTTTATCAGTTGAAGTGCCTCTGAAATTTTATTAAATTACAAGCAATTGTATTAAAATTTTAGCTAGATTCTCTGCTTTATATTACGTAAAACAAATTCATACAATCAAACATATCCAATAAAAATAGTACCATATCATGTATCAAACGCATAATGCAGTACGAGTTTTCATTAAACATCCAATCAACATTCATACATTCATACAAAGTACAAAATGTTTTGCTATGTAGTTTTTTCTCAAAGGGAAAAGGGGCAAATAAGCCCTCGAACTAATAAAAAAAGTGCAAATAAGCCCTTTTGTAGGAGGTTCTGTCCGATCATCGTCATTTGGGGAGGTTCTCGGTGGAATTTTTTGATGAATTTTTTTGAGCATCTTCTTCATTAAGTCTAGTTTAGCCATACCGAATTTCAGCTAAAAATTCAACCGGGAAGGCACTCAAATGATTTTCGGAAAAATACTGCGTTGTTTAACTGTGCAGTTATCTTCAAAAATTCATTTGACTGTCTTCCCGGATGAATTTTTAGCTGAAATTCAGTAGGACTAAACTAGACTTAATGAATAAGATGCTCAAAAATTTTCATCATAAAATTCCACCGTGAACCTCCCCAAATGACGATGACCGGACGGAACCTCCTACAAAAGGGCTCATTTGTACTTTTTTGATTAGTTCGAGGGCTTATTTGCCCCTTTTCCCAAATAAATAAGGTATAATCAAGAGTGTAATTCAGGGTGTACATCAAACACTACTGAATCACAAAAGGGTTGCATGTGAATACTGAAAATTAAAAGAAATAAATTAATATATCTTCAAATAAGAACAATGCTTAACCTCTGGTAGCCGCATTTATCTTCAACTTTATAAATAAATAATTAATGCTCATGGAACTATTTTGACTTAAGAATTAATGGAGCCCGTGAGCTCTGTTTTTGCCCGTGTGTAGTTCTTATTAAACACTTATATTCTGCTATT